AGTTGCTTTTTGCTGATGACACTGTACTTTTGGGAGATTCTGAAGAGAAGTAGCAGAGGTTGGTTCTAAACTGTTGTGTTCTGAGCACCTCTGCAAAAACAGTGATTATGTGTGAGTGAGGTGAAAGTGTTGAATGATGATGAAAGTATTTTCTTTTTGGGTATTTTCTTTCTTTTTGGGTCACCCTGCCTCGGTGGGAGATGGCCGACTTGTTAAAAAAAAAACGTAAAAGAAGAAAATTAAAAGTGAATATAGGAAAGAGTAAGGTTATGAGAAAAATAAAAAGATTAGGTGATGAAAGATTGGATATCAGATTGGATGGAGAGAGTATGAAGAAGGTAAATGTATTCAGATATTTGGGAGTGGACGTATCAGCAGATGGATCTATGAAAGATGAGGTGAATCATAGATTTGACGAGGGAAAAAGGGTGAGCGGTGCACTAAGCAGTCTCTGGAGACAAAGAACTTTGTCCTTGGAAGCAAAGAGGGGAATGTATGAGAGTATAGTTTTACCAACGCTCTTATATAGGTGTGAAGCATGGGTGATGAATGCTGCAGCAAGGAGAAGGCTGGAGGCAGTGAAGATGTCATGTCTGCAGAGAATTCATAGTTTGGAAGTTAGGAGGAGGTGCAGGATTGCCAAAACTGTTGTCCAGAGAGCTGAGGAAGGGTTGCTGAGGTGGTTCGGACATGTAGAGAGAATGGAATGAAACAGAATGACTTCGAGTGTATAAATCTGTAGTGGAGGGAAGGCAGGGTAGGGGTTGGCCTAGGAAAGGTTGGAAGGAGGGGATAAAGGAGGTTTAGTGTGCGAGGGGCTTGGACTTCCAGCAAGCATGTGTGAGCATATTTAATAGGAGTGAATGAAGACAAGTGGTTTTTAGGACTCGATGTGCTGTTGGACTGTGAGCAAGGTAACATTTATGGAGTCAGGGAAACTGGCAGGCCAGACTTGAGTCCTGGAGATGGGAAGTACAGTGTCTGCACTCTGAAGGAGGGGTGTTAATGCTGCAGTTTTATAAACTGTAGTGTAAAGCACCCTTCTGGCAAGACAGTGATGGAGTGAATGATGGTGAAAGTTTTTCTTTCTCGGGCCACCCTGCCTTGGTGGGAATCGGCTGATGTGCTAATAAAAAAAATATAAGATACAAAGAGCCTCTGACAATTGGCTGGAAGGAGAATGTGAAGACTGTTTCAATGTATAGGTGCCAGAGCATGTAGAGGTTAGGTGTGAGATTGTTATATCAAAATAGAAGGAAGTCATTTTTGGGATTTGACATGCTGTTGGTGTGTGACTGATATTTATGATGGGATACAAAGAAAGTGATTATGCAAGAACTGATTTTTGAAGGTGGGAAATACAATGCCTCCACTTTGAAAGACCAATTGGTATGTTGTGAAGATAAATAGTGCCAAGTCGACAATTGCAGAGAAAAACTTTATCAAGACATTTTGCCTGTGGATAGATTGAGGAAGACTGTCTATGAGCGAAGTGTCTATATTCAGTTCCTCTCTGTAATGGTATGCTGTAGTTTGGTCAGTCACTGAATGGTGATATCTGTGCACATTTGGAAAGGCAGCTAGAATGCAAGCGATAACAAATGTTTTTTTCTTAAAAAAAAAAAACTCAAAAATTCATGACATAGCTGTAAAGCTAATTTAAGACAAAAAATTGAAAAAAAATAATATACAGTAGACGCTTCTGTTACAAAAAACGTGATTCTAAAAGCTTAGAGATCTCCAGTGAATACTAGAAAGGACTGCCCTTCTAGCATCCAGCCTGTTACTGGGTTTTCGTAACAATTAGTCAGTATCCTTGTCCAATTATCCATTAGAGTTCAGTATGATTCAATAGTGCTTCAGGATTACAACTGGTAGGCTACTAACTAGAGAAAATAAAATTTAATAAATTTATTAAGTATCGTCTAGAGGTATATCATCAAATTAAATTAAATTAATCAATTCAAACAAATTAACAATAATCACTTCTCTCATGTACAGTATTATTGTGCTGAAAGCACATATCACATTTATAATTCTTAAGTACCGTCTGGTACATTAACATTTAATGAGATATTACAAATATGTACAAGTAAGTTTGTGTGTATGTGTGTAAGTGCTCTAAGTAGTTCGCTATGTCTCACGACTCGACTATACTTAAACAAGATACTGACAAAGTCCTCAAATAAACTAACTTCTTGACTAACTGGCAATCAGAACAGTCTGCTTGAACAATAAAAAGAATGCTAAGCCCAATAGCAATATAACAAGCAACTGCAACACAGAATCAGGAACAAGGAGATAATATAACGACACTAAGTAGGGACCATCAGCAGATCCTCCACAAAAGTCACAAAACTCCCATACTACTGAATCTAAGTTCAGCATAAGAAAATCACCGACTGTGATAGTACACAGATACCAGTACAAATTAGGTCAGAAGCTACAGCTCAGGACCTGAGTTACTCAGAGTGTCTAAGCAACACACAACCTCAGTACAACGTCGAAAATCACTAAGTCTATACAATGTTCTGTGAACAGAGTTCTACAGAACTAACAAGAAAGCTACAGAGACGATCTTCCAACAAGGGCCAATAAGGGAGATTTAGGCTCTTGTCAGGGATACGTCCAACCACCAAGCAAGTCTAGACCAGACTGAATACTTCAGGCGAGGTGAGGACACCCCCCCCCTCGATCATGTGATAGCTCCGTGGACAGCTGCAGCTCAGCAACAGAAGCCGGCAGAATAACGAGCAAAGAGCGATAATTACAGTAGTTAGACAATCAAGACTTGAACTGAGCACATAATATGTTACATCCTACCTAACAACATAATTAAGTCAAATAATAATATAAAGCAAGATATTCATGATTTAGCTATTATCGCAAATATAAGCAATATAAAATTATATGAAAAGGTAATATACATGTAATATATATACATACATTGCAACCCATTCAGGGGTTGCAACAGCTTCTTTTTTCTCTGAATTGCCAAAAAAAAAATTGGAATGATGTACAGTAGCTCTAAAATAAAAAAAAATTATATACAGTAAACCTTTGACTAACAAAGGATATGTTCCTGAAAATTGGTGCTTTGTTAAAATTAGCATTATTCAAAGTGAAGAATATTTGGGAAAAAGAGGGACACATTCCTCAGAGCTCCAAATATGGCAAAACAAATTTGTCAATAGGCTAACAAAGTCAAAAGAAGCAACTTTATCTTACTTTAAATTGCTTGTTACTGTGCATGTGAAGAGGGTTAATGTGGCACTGTAAAATACTTGTATGAACATGTGGCAAGCAGTATCAGCTCCAACCACCATCACCTACCATTTCTAAGATCTGGGAAAAGCCTGTTGCTGCCTCAATTGTGTGTGCATCCCTTCCAAAGAAACTGGGAGGGTTTAATAGAGTGCTACCACCAACTTTCACCATCTAACACCATCATTATTTACTTTATTCAAGGCCTAGGGAAAAGCCTATTGTTGAAGTATAGTGTGAATTTCTTTCACAGAATATGAGGTGTTCTCAATATAGCACTACAGTGGTGCCCTCCTCAAAACCTACAACAACAATTGTACCAAAGAGAGGATTGCAACTTAGTTTTCTTCTTAGCCCTTTTGGGTATCATTGGTAAATATTCAGAGATAAAATGAATTTGGTAGGGTGTGCAAAAGAAGAAAATTGAAAGTGAATACAGGAAAGAGTAAGGTTATGAGGATAACAAAAAGATTAGGTGATGAAAGATTGGATATCAGATTGGAGGGAGAGAGTATGGAGGAGGTGAATGTATTCAGATATTTGGGAGTGGACGTGTCAGCGGATGGGTCTATGAAAGATGAGGTGAATCATAGAATTGATGAGGGGAAAAGGGTGAGTGGTGCACTTAGGAGTCTGTGGAGACAAAGAACTTTGTCCTTGCAGGCAAAGAGGGGAATGTATGAGAGTATAGTTTTACAACGCTCTTATATGGGTGTGAAGCATGGGTGATGAATGTTGCAGCGAGGAGAAGGCTGGAGGCAGTGGAGATGTCATGTCTGAGAGCAATGTGTGGTGTGAATATAATGCAGAGAATTCGTAGTTTGGAAGTTAGGAGGAGGTGCGGGATTACCAAAACTGTTGTCCAGAGGGCTGAGGGAGGGTTGTTGAGGTGGTTCGACATGTGGAGAGAATGGAGCGAAACAGAATAACTTCAAGAGTGTATCAGTCTGTAGTGGAAGGAAGGCGGGGTAGGGGTCGGCCTAGGAAAGGTTGGAGGGAGGGGGTAAAGGAGGTTTTGTGTGCGAGGGGCTTGGACTTCCAGCAGGCATGCGTGAGCGTGTTTGATAGGAGTGAATGGAGACAAATGGTTTTTAATACTTGACGTGCTGTTGGAGTGTGAGCAAAGTAACATTTATGAAGGGGTTCAGGGAAACCGGCAGGCCGGACTTGAGTCCTGGAGATGGGAAGTACAGTGCCTGCACTCTGAAGGAGGGGTGTTAATGTTGCAGTTTAAAAACTGTAGTGTAAAGCACCCTTCTGGCAAGACAGTGATGGAGTGAATGATGGTGAAAGTTTTTCTTTTTCGGGCCACCCTGCCTTGGTGGGAATCGGCCAGTGTGATAATAAAATAATATAATAAAAATAAAATGGTGTACTGATAAGATTCAGAACCAGTTGATAAACAAACTGGGTCAATCATGCCATTCTTCAAGTTAGACACTGTAGGCAGCATGGATAAGATTATAATGCATAACACTAGGCCTCCCATAAAAAAAAATATCCTTGACCAACACTATATGGCCATCCATGATTTTGTGTCACTCTTCTTACCTCACAAATTACAGTGAGTGCAGTGATTGCATTTTCAGTGTAAATCAAATTACAGCTGCCATTTATCAACTGCTTCATGATAAATTCACATTTTATGGGTCATGTTAATCAAGGGTTTACTTTATTTTTTACCTAATAATCATAGCATTCCAAACATTATTTGAAAGGGAAACAGAAAGCCATACCTTTCCGAAACAAAGTTCGTTGCAGAGACAACCACATCTTCGGCATTCCTAACTAACAGAGGTACTTTTCTGCAACCAGCACTTTTCAGTATTTTATGCAGGAGTTTAAGTGTGTCTTGCAGAACATTTGGTGGACACATATCGATCTTAGTGACTATGACAAAAACTGGAACGTTGAGAGCTAAAGCTAGACCCAAATGTTCCTTTGTCATGCCAACAACACCAGCATTCGCACCAACCTGTAATTAGAGCAATACATAATTAAAAAGCACACATTAAAAGATAAACAATTTGGACCAAAAGTTGGCTCTTTGTAGAATGCAATGCAATTCAATATATAATTCTTCTTCTTTCAACAAACAGGCAGCATCCCACCGAGGCAGGTGGCCCAAAAAGAAAAACAAAAGTTTCTCTTTTTAACTTTAGTAATGGATACAGAAGAAGGGGTTACTAGCCCTTTACTCCCAGCATGTTAGTGGCCTCTTATGACATGCATGGCTTATGGAGGAAGAACTCTGTTCCACTTCCCCATGGAGTTAAGAGGAAGTAAACAAGAACAAAAACTAGTAAGAAAATAAAAGAAAAGCCAGACGGGTGTGTGTATATATGTGCTTGTACATACAAGTATAATAAAATAATAATAAGTTTATTTCTTTGTAAAGGTTACAATGTGAATTCCAATTTTGATTTGCTAAGTACAAAGATAGCCACTATCATGCCGAGGCATTTCAGGCAAACTAATCCTAATACATAGTAACTAATTAAAACTAGATAAGATAATAATACATAGTAATTATACTTAAAACTAAACATAGAATAGTGGTTAGCCGTTTTACAATCTTATTTGGACTTAATAAATCTTATGTATACTTAGTACAAAATCTAATTTACAAGGAATGGTGAAGGTGGTAATATTTTATGGAATAGCAGAATTAAAAGCCAGGTCACATGATAAAACTAGCCAGTAGATGTTTGATTGATTTGGTTAATATTGTGAGATAAGATGATTTTTTAGCAGAGTCCTAAATTTATAAGTTGTCTGGGGATCCTTGACCTGTTCCGGTAGCGAGTTCCTGATCTTTGGGCCTTTTGTGTGCATAGCATTCTTGCATAGTGAGAGTCTTACTCAAGGGATGTTGAAAAGTGCCTTATGCCTTGTACAGGCATAAGTGTAAGCAGAAATAGCAAAACGTACCTGAAATCTTGAATGTTCATAAGACAAAAAAAGACACCAGCAATCCTACCATCGTGAACAATTACAAGCTTCCATTTTACACTCACTTGGCAGGACAGTAGTACCTCCTTGGGCAGCTGCTGTCTACCAACCTACTACCTAGGTCAATACATTATTTTTTTTTTTTTAACACTTCAACCATTTCCCCACTGAGGCAGAGTCACCCAAAAAGAATGAAAAATACTTTCATCATCATTCAACACTTTCACCACAACTCATACATAATCAGTGTCTTTGCAGAGGCGGTCAGATACGACAGTTTAGAAGTCCCTCCAAACTGCCAATATCCTAAACCCCTCCTTTAAAGTGCAGGCAGTGTACCTCCAATTTCCAGGACTCAAGTCCAGCTAACAATACATAATTATCACTACAAATTACACAAAGGAGTAAACTGGCAACATACACATGATTAGCATAAGATGATTAAGTTAATAACATAAATTTATGTGATAATCATTTTTAACACTATGGCAATTTCCCAAGGTAGGGTGACTAATAAGGAAACACATTCACCATCACTCAATCTCTAGGTAATTTTGAATTCAACAAAAGGACTTATGAACTTTTCAGCATTTAACCTCTTCGAAGAACCCTCTTGGTATTCCATGACCCACAATTCCCAAAAGAAAATGATGGTTGTGCAACTGCTGACTCCAATAGAAAACAACACAATCAATGGCAGAAATACATTAATGCATTCCTGAAAAGTTATTATAAGAGTTCAGAACTCAAAATCTATTTTTCCTTGGATACTTGTGTTGCAATCGGAGATACTTTCCTGAGCCAAAGGTATTCCACATTTAATTTTATTTAATTTTTATTTAAGAATATTTACCCAATATATTTTACATCTGGTACTATTCCATTTTTTTATTAACAAATTAATGTATTTAGTTTATTTATTTATTTATTAATTTGAACATGATACATAGAAGTACAAGGAAATACAGTGGTTAAGTGTAACATGCCAAAGCCCCTTGTATGCAGAGCATTAAGGGCAGGCTTAAAATTAACTTAAGATTAACTAAGCAATGATATATTCAGTGGTAAACTTTGTTGTAAACAGTTAACAATTTAGCACAAATGAGTATTTCAATATATTACATATTACATATATAATACAATATACAGTGTGGTTCCCGGCAATCATAAATTTCGCCAATCATAGGGGTATTTTCATATAAACATGGACTCGCTTTTCACAGGTTGACTCGCGAGTCGTAGTTCGTCCGGGACGCGTACCCACGGCGTGAGCCGTGGCGGCAGCCAGTCTGGCATTGTTTACCAGTGAGCGAAGGTCCCTTCACGTGCTCCAGCGAAATATTTCATAATATTCCATTTATTTTAGTGCTTGCAAGTACTAAATAAGCTACCATGGCTCCAAAGAAAGCTCCTAGTGCCTGGTAAAGAAGGTGAGAAATACGATTGAATTTAAGAAAACCATCACTGAACAATATGAAAGTGGTACAAGTGTGGCCGAACTGGCCAGGATGTATAAGAAACCCTACACAACCTTATGTTCCATAGTGGCCAAGAAAAAGGAAATCAAGGATGCTGTTGTTGCAAAGAGAGTAACTATGCTGACAAAAATGAGATCACCAGTACTCGAAGAGGTTGAGAAATTATTATTGTTGTGGATAAATGAGAAACAATTAGCAGGAGATACTCTTATGACTTCGATTATTTGTGAAAAGGCTAGGCAGTTGCATGAAGATTTGGTAAAGAAATTGCCTGCAAATAGTGGTGATTTGAGTGAATTTAAGGCCAGCAAAGGCTGGTTTGAGAGATTTAAGAACCATACTGGCATACACAGTGTGGTAAGGCATGGTGAGGCTGCCAGTTCGGACCACAAGGCGGCTGAAAATATGTGCATGAATTCCAGGAGTACATAGAGGCTGAAGGACTGAAACCTGAACAAGTCTTCAATTGTGACAAAACAGGCCTCTTTTGGAAGAAAATGCCAAAGAGGACCTTCATTACACAAGAGGAAAAGGCAATGCCAGGACACAAGCCTATGAAAGACAGGCTGATGCTAATGTTCTGTGCTAATGCAAGTGGGAATTTCAAAGTGAAGCCATTACTAGTGTACCATTCTGAAAATCCCAGAGTGTTCAGGAAAAACAATATTATGAAGAGTAAATTGTGTGTGTTTTGGAAATCTAATAGTAAGGCATGGGTCACGTGGGAAATTTTCGTCGAGTGGTTCAATGAAGTGTTTGGCCCTAGTGTGAAGGAGTATCTCCTGGAAAAGAAATTGGATCTCAAGTGCCTGCTAGTAATGGACAATGCACCTGCTCATCCTCCAAACTTGGATGACCTAATCTTTGAGGAGTTTGGGTTCATCACAGTAAAGTTCTTGCCCCCGAATACCACTCCTCTCCTCCAGCCCATGGAACAGCAAGTCACTGCAAACTTTAAAAAACTCTACACAAAAGCAATGTTTCACAGGTGCTTGACTGTGACCACAGACACTCACTTGACCTAAGGAATTTTGGAGAGAACACTTCAGCATCCATCCATGGCATAACCCTTATAGGTATGGCTTGGGAGGGAGTGACTACCAGGACTTTGAACTCTGCCTGGAGAAAATTGTGGCTAGATTGTGTCGACAAGAGGGATTTTGAAGGGTTTGGGACTGACCCTGATGAGCCTATGTCTGTTGTAAAATCAACTGTGGCACTGGGGAGTTCCATGGGGTTGGATGTGAGTTTGGAGGATGTGGAAGAATTGGTGGAAGACCACAATGAAGAGCTCACCACTGAGGAGCTGCAAGAGCTTCAGCAGGAAGAGCAACACATTGCAGCTCAGTATCTTGCTGCAGAGGAGGAGGAAGAGATGGAAGAAGGTGCCTTCTTCAGAAATTAAAGAGATTTTTACTATGTGGGGTAAGATGGAAAGCTTTATGGAGAAACATCACCCTAACAAGGTTGTTGCAAGCCATGTTGGCAACATGTACCCGTGACAAAGTCTTGGGCCATTTTTTTGGGAAGTGTAAAGGGACGCCAGAAACAGAGCTCTCTCCACAGTTATTTTGCGAGACAGGACTCCAGTGACTCAAGGTGGTCCTAGTGGCATTAAGAAACAGAGAAGAGAAGCAACCCCAGAAAAGCAATTGGTACCTGAGGTGTTGCTGAAAGAGGATTACCCTTCCAAACTATAAACAATCCACTCTCTCTCCTCCTCCAGTCTCCCATACACTAAGAAGAATCTCCAATAAAGGTAAGTGTTATGCTGTTAATGTTTCATTCATCATTTCCCATTGTATTGTTTATGTACTACATGTATATTTCATGTAAAAATTTTTTTTGTTTTAATACTTCTGGGTGTCAGGAACGGATTAATTGTATTTACATTATTTCTTATGGGGAAAATTTATTTGCAAATCGTAAATTTCGTTTATAGTAGCTCCTCCAGGAACGGATTAATTACGAAAAACGAGGGACCACTGTATTATATATATATATTTCACCTAGGTAGTAGGTTGGTAGACAGCAACCGCCCAGGGAGGTACTACCGTCCTGACAAGTGAGTGTAAAGCGAAAGCCTGTAATTGTTTTACATGATGGTAGGATTGCTGGTGTCACTTTTTTCTGTCTCATAAACATGCAAGATTTCAGGTACGTCTTGCTACTTCTACTTACACTTAGGTCACATTACACATACATGCACAAGCATATATATACACACCCCTTTGAGTTTTCTTCTATTTTCTTTCTAGTTCTTGTTCTTAGTTTATTTCCTCTTACCTCCATGAGGAAGTGGAACAGAATTCTTCCTCCGTAAGTCATGCGTGTTGTAAGAGGCGACTAAAATGCCGGGAGCAAGGGGCTAGTAACCCCTTCTCCTGTATATATTACTGAATGTAAAAGGAGAAACTTTCGTTTTTCCTTTTGGGCCACCCCACCTCGGTGGGATGCGGCCGGTGTGTTGAAAGAAAAGATATATATTTCAATATATTATATATTATACATATATTTCACCTAGGTAGTAGGTTGGTAGACAGCA